AATGAGGGGACCGTCAAATCTCGATCCAAAACGTAATTCCCATGGTGATTTGTCTCCCCCCGTTGCAATGACGTTCTGCATGAAGCACCAATGTCGGGCAGCATGTGGCCAGTGCCAATGATTCAAACCTGCCTGGAGCAGATTGACACGAGTGCCTTCAAGGACTGACCGAACCGCTCTTTCGGCTTGGGCGTTGGACTTGGATATGTAGTCCCTACTTAAAACATGACGGCACTGAAGGATCTTCATTGCTGAGATCAACTCGGGTGCATTGTCACTGTAGAAAACTCCTATCTTATCTTCATGTCCAACAAAATGTTTAATTGCCAAGATAGCAGCATTGGTGGTTCGTCTGGCATTGGGGTAGACATACATAAATCCTGTTGCTATGTCCTTCACTACGAGTGCACTTTTCTCTTCATCGATTCCCAACTCATCTTCATCTCTGGTGACAATAAAATCAGCAGTGATGTGGTCACCAAATTTCTCAGCTTTAACTTTGGTTGATCCGCCTACGGCTCTTGAGGGTGGCTTGAACATCTTAGCTCTGGTACATATGTCGCAAAAGGGGTTCTTAGGGATGTGAGTCAGCATATGTCGAATAGACTTAGCTTCTTCTTTCAATTCCTTTTCCCCAAGTGACCTTTTGTGAGCACCATCATCATGGACGTTACTACTGCTACCCTTGGATCCTTCCACAGGCGGCTCAACCTCCCGGTCGGCATCAGGAACATCAACCTCCTCAGCCTCCAAGGGCTGGGGCTCCGGTAAATCAACATTGATACCCATGGGGTCATCACCAATGATTTCGATATCCCCATCGGGCTCCGGAGATTGTTGAGCTTCATCTGATGCCGGGGTGGCAACACTTGGTCTAGGCTGAGTTGATGGAGTGGAAATCGTCTTTGAATTATTTGCAAAGTAGGGTACGTAATCTCTGACAACTAACTCAATGCGTTCCCCATTTGGTTTGACCATGTAAGGAGGTTCACCTTTGGAGCCTCTCCATATGAAGTCGTAACCATCATCAATGCATCTCATCCCGACTGAAATGACAGGAGGTGAGCTTCGAACAAGATATGGGTCAATGGTCTTGCCTAATTTTGGAACAAATACTTTCCCTTGTTTTGATGACGAACTTTCACCATTGGCAGTAATCATGCGAATGGGATTGTTGGAGTAGTATCCATAGTCATCTGGCAATTCGCTATCATTGACGAGATCTTGAGCACTCCCCGTATCTGCAATCCAGTCAAGTTCGAGGTTGATCGCTCCCTTCACGTCTTCTCTACATTCCGCAGGGGTGGCTTTGATTCCCTTTGGGATACATTCATTGCAACCAAAATCTGTGTCACATAAATAGGCACATTTGCATTCTATTCCCCGAAGACAATTGGAAACAGATCCTGCCAACATGGTACCGGTCAAAGCGGCATCATTCACAGCAAGTTGATCAACTTCAAACTGATGTCCCCATGGAAAGGTAACCTTATCCTTGGTGACTGCGTTTCCAATTGGCCTCAAGTTCCCTCGGACTTTAACATGAGATACGTCCGGTGAATCATCAAAACGAATCGATGGACAAAATACTCTTGGTTGAGGGATACAAAATGCCTGAGACACGGATGCAAGCATGGATGCGACAAGACAAACTGCGGCAGGAGACGGCTTAGATGAACTGGCCCCGGATCCTTTAGACTTCGGGGATTTCGGGCTCTTGGGGCTCTTAGAGCGGCTAGAGCTTCGGGATCCCTTCCTTTTCGGGTTCTTGGGATTCTTCTTTTTATTTTTGTTTTCGCTACTGGCCGAACGGGCAGGAGTAGCTTGTCTTGGCTTTCCCACTGAACCCTCATGAAGGAACTTGCAATCAGCTCCTCTATCGCAACGTCCCTGTTTCCAAAATTTGCAAATCTTCTTACCTTTCCCCTTTGGTCTGGGAGAACCAGAACGTTCATTTGAGCGACCTCTGGTTTTGCTGGGTTTGCGACTTCTATCACGTGGCTTGGGGACTTCATGCTTGTAAGTACAGTTGTCCTTGCTACAGCCTCCCTTATTCCATGCCACACAATGCCCCTTGGGAATAAATCCTGTCTTGCCCTCGACTGCAGGAGCGGAGGGACGACCGGAACCCGAAAGACCTTTGGCAACTCGATCACGATTTGCCTCCAACCTCTCACGGTCAAGGTGGTGTCGCACGGCAGAAACAAGAAAACTGTAGTTCCGTTTTTCGGTTCCTTCATCAGCTCTATGATACTCATTCATGTCATGTTGGATGGCCTTACAATTCTTCACTTGTTTGTAGAAGAGTGTCTCCAATACACTTACTTCGGGAGTCTGGACGATACCAGCCAACACTTGATCCCAGTTTGAAATGAAAGACTTCAAATTCTCCCCGCGCAATTGGACACTGAACAAATCTTGAAGGGCATAGGTTGCTCCGTGCTTGATGTTGGTACTAAAGTGGTCATGCAACATGAACAACACTTGTCTCCCTCTTACAATCCGTCCAGCGGTGGCTTCAGTCTCCTTGAAGGTATCTACCTTGCGGGCGAAGTCACCAGTGATGATATTGGTGAGTGCAGAAAGTAACTTTGCATCAAGTGTCGCAAACGGCGCAACCTTCCGGAGCGCTTCAAGGGTCTGTTCTTCTTTCCAAGAATCACTAATCCACTTGAAAGCACTGTCGGGATCGGTTGATGCTGCTACAACTGCTTCTCTGGTCTTAATTCTCCAATTGCGATAGGTTTCTGCCAATGGGAAAGCTGGGATCTTGATGGTGTCAGCTTCCTTGACCTTGGGTTTGTCATCATGCCTTGGATCGATGTAGCCACCTAGAAACTTGATCATCCTTCGCCTGAACTTCTCATCATCATCATCATCATCGGGATCATCATCACCGTCATCACCGCCGTCAGGAGGATTGGGACCAGCCCTACCTTTTCTGGGTGCCTTACGGTTCCTATCCCCTTCATGTTTATCAATCGGATCAGGTGGTGATGGTGGTCCACCTCCCCCGTTCCCTCCGTTGCCATCTCCTCCATCCCCTGGATCGTCCCCATCAGGCGCATCATCGCCCCCCGGCTCGAAGTACTCCATCTCATCTGGGCCTAGTTCGGTCGGGGCATATTGATTGGTCGGCGCGGGGGAATTGACACTATCCATGGGATGGTTATCTCGGCGACGACTATTGGCCTCTCCTCCCGAAGGGCGTTCCTCAACGGAAGACCTTGCAACATCCGACTCCTTCTTCACTTGTACTGGGACTCGATATGATGGGTCATGATAAATGATTTCAATACCATCCTTTTCATAAGTCTTGGCATCAGGTGAAGTACCGTTGATCGGCGTTCTTGCAATTGGAGGTCGGGCTACATTGGTCGGAGGTGCTGCGGGTGCAGCCTTGCGGGTCGGTGGAACAAATTCTAAGTTTGGGATCTCCGTTGATTCATGGGTTCCGGCTGTCATAGTCATGGCGGCAGTTTCGACAATAGGACTTGGACGAACCTGAGCAAACTGGGAATCGAGCATACTTTGCAGTTTCAGATTGTGTTGCATCTGTACTTGTACCATGTGTTCAAGCTGTGTAATGCGCTCATTCTGAACCCTTCTCTCTTCCTCAGCTGCTCTTCTCAATTCAAGGATCTCTTGCTCCTTACTTGATAGTGATTGACGATGGTTAGCATCAATGACACGTTGGTAGGCTTGAATTTTCTCATTCATTTGAGCTTCTCGGAACCTTACGTGTTCGTGCGCCTCATGCTGTAAGTTCTCCCTATACTGTGCTCCCATTCTCAATACTTCTTGTTCTTTGGACATCATTGCATCTAAGGCCCTCTGACTTTCAATGCCCTCACGGACTCGCAATGCTTCCACCAATTCCTCAGTCTTTGCCGTGTGGACGGCCTCAGCGTGGGCTTCGGCCTGGGCCAATAATTCACGATGACGGAGTTCGGCCGTTGTTTCCACAAGGCTTGTCATAGCAGGATCATGTGCATGAAGGTGCAAATTCTGCTCGACAAAATTCACTTGAGGATTGTCAACATGAACATTGTGTTGAAACGTATTATGGACATTCATCTGGTTCAATTGGCGAGTCGGTGGCCCACCCTCCCGAGCGGCTTGGGGGACAAAACCACGGTGACTGAATCCCACATGAGAAGGCACAACTGCGTTACTCAAATGTGGAAGGTGGCGTCGATCCCTTAAGCTTCTGGATTTGTCGGAGCTTGGTGGGGTGCTGATGTCATATGAGAAAGGTGAGTTGCTGATAGGTAGTGTCCCCGGGTTAGCCATGGCTGCGTCAGAGGTATCTACACGCCCGGTGCCCTCGGTGGAAGAACCCGAGGGGGCAGACATTCTACCAAAGGAGAAGTTAGCTTACGGCTGATAACCTGTTTGACAGGTTAACTAGCCACAAACAACCAGCTAGCACACACTGTTTTCTTGAGCCATATGCATACGATGTAAAGGGTGAAAACGTGAGTATGTACAATGATACATGTACAAAACAAAATCAATTGAAAGTAAATTGAAATCAATTGAAAGTAAATTGAAAGTAAATTGAAAGTAAATTGAAATCAATTGAAAGTAAATTGAAAGTAAATTGAAAGTAAATTGAAATTAATTAATTAATTAAAAGTAAATTGAAATCAATTGAAAGTAAATTGATTTCAATTGAAAGTAAATTGAAATCAATTCAAAAAAATTGTTGAAGGTGGGGGGGCGCAAAAAAATGGTCTGTTATTGAGTAGACTAAAATTGTTTAGGGGGGGGGGCCCTCACACTAATCAGTCGACAACATTAATTTATAGGGCACACGGTGGCGTTTGTAGAACCCCTCGATGTCCAAATATGTCCAAATATTGATTGGCGACCCTGGACTACTGAAAAGTGGGTGGCTTCAACAAAGCCCCCAAACTGACTGTTCCGATTCATAGGTATTCATCAACACCATTTCTGGAGAACCGAGTTTCATTCCCCACCATCTGCAGCCAAGTTGACCGGGCATGTTGGTTGGCATGGACGGCATCCCTGGCATAGAGGGCATGCACCCGCAGCAGCCGCCGCAAGGACAGCCGCCACAGGGACAGCCACCGCAGCCTCCGCAGCCTCCGCAGCCTGGAATGTCATAGTGAAAATGTTGCTTTCCACTTTCCATCCAAAGAACTGGAATACGTTGGAAGAATGTACAGTGAACTGCAATATACTGCACTATCATGCAAAATCATGGAAACATATTCAATGATTCAAACAGTCTCAGTAAACTTTTTATTTTTGCTGTCAATGTCTGCTGACAATGTTTGCCCTTTGTCTCTTCCGTGTCCAGTGGGTTTTCATACTGCTTGAAGTTAGTTGCATGTGCTCAAGTCCCTTCTTCACATACGGCAAGTTGTGGCATATCTACAAATCATGGCATGAGTGCATGCATCCAACCGTGCATTGCACCCTGGTCTTCACACCTTGCACAATTTTTTTCATTGCATTGGAATGCATAATCTACATTGGCTACGTCGCATTGCGGTATGTAAGTAGTGTGCACTGCGCAGCTTTACATCACACCGCATCACAGTTCAGTGTTTCTCTACCAAAGGTCATTCATATCATATCCCTCAAAACGTGTCAAAATGTTGGGGTCTACCAATACATTAGAAAAGAGGCTGCCATGGCATGCCTGGCCTGGCATGCAACAGCCACCACAGCAGCCGCCACAGCAACCGCCACAACAGCCAGGCATGCAGCCGCCTCCGCAGCAGCCCGGCATGCAGCCTATGCAATGACAGAACACCATCAACATGAGAAAAAAAAAACATGTCTACAGATCATCTACAGTATCTAATGTGTGTGTGTGTTTTTTTCTCCCAAAAAATGTGTAACTCCCAAGTCATCTGAAAACTGAAGGGGCATGGGTATTATGACATGCCACTAACATGACTCAGGGCGTTTATTTTTGTTTTGTTCTCAAGACTTTGTGTTGATGATGTGTTTGGACCGAGAACTCCTAATTGTTCTTTCATGTTCTTTCATGTTCTTTCCTTATGTGACATTGTCATGAGTCATACATGTTCCCCATTTCTCGCAAAGCTGGGTTGGGTCAGGGAACGCTCTTGATTGGGAATTACTAATTGTTCCTTCACAATACCAGGCACCTGGGGAGAGACTCGGATGAGCTGCAGGCAAAGGTTTAAAACTAGATAGCCCCTATCAAGGTCTTGTTTCATTTTAAGATCCAGCTCAAAAATAGACATGCCTTAAGGCCCCAGGTTATTGAGGAGAAACTACCAGGCTGTGTACTACGGTTGTGCATGTACAATTGGATACAATTGGAATCAATTGGATACAATTAGCATATACTGGTAGTTGTCTGAGTGAGTGTGTGTGCACTCCGCGCCTCTCACTCACTCAATCACTCACTCACTCACACTCTCTCTCTCTCTCTCTCTCCAACTACAGCAGCTACAGTGACAGGTTACATGTGTGTTGCAAATGCACATATGTTAATGTACTGTACTATATATAGCAAGCCTGAAGCAACATCCATATACTCTTAATCTGACATTGCCCTTCCCGTTGCCTGGGCAACCTGAAGGCGTAGAGCCAGGTGCTCCCGGTGCAGCTGCAGCACCGTTCTCTGCTGCTGGTGACGTACCCGGTGCTGGGTCAGAGGAAGTGCTGGACTGGGCCGTTTGCCCCATGCCACACCCACCGCAACCAGGACACCCGCCACAGCCGCAGCAGCCGCAACCACAGCCCCCGCAACCACAGCCACAACCAGGCATCATCATAGGCCGCGCACCACCCATCATCATTGGGTTCATGCCTGCCATCATGGGATTCATCATCATTTGCATCATTGGATTCATCATCATAGCCATCATCGGATTCATGGGGTTGGAATCCTTGTCGTCTTTGTCATCGTCATTCTCCTTATCATCTTGGAGTGAAGCCGCTTGTTGCAAATATTTCTCCGACCACTTCTCTTCATAGTCGTCCTTGGGAGCAATGTCTCATCTGGTGAGGGGCCCTCTGTTCTGGGAAGCGAATGCTGAAAAGGCTTGGGCACAAGCCCTCACGAGGATGTCTTATCACTTTCTGTGACCCAGTCAACAGGCCGAATCAAGGACAAGTCCACACATAAAATGCAGTTGGAGCTCCTGTGTGGCAGGGCCCTGGGGTTCTTTCTTCTCCTGCCCGTGGCTCTTATGAGAATTCGGCAAGAAAAAAGGCATGATGTACGAATAGAATTTGTCAAGCCAAAGCAGCACGTCTAAAACTTGGAGCGACCTTTTGGATGCCGCGCCTTTTCCCTGTTGACAAAATCCTTCGCACGCTCAGCATGCTGTGCTGCCTGAAAAGCAGCGCCACCATGAGGTCGCACTGCCACCCACCTTGGTGTGATCAAGGATCGGAAATGATCGGAATGACTGTCTCTGTCTAGGAAGTGACTGCACCGAATGAGACGGAAGATAACCCTTTCAGCAACTGCAGCCTCCTTCTGATTCTTAATTATTGATTTTTCATATTGTACAATATTTTTTGATGGGTGCGTGCGCGTGTTTGTTTGTGTGTGAGAGAGAGACAGCACTTGTCTAACATAAGAGGCCTCCTAGCTGTTTGAATGTGAGTATCAGCGGGCTTCAGTGAACTACACTCAGAAACAGAACATGGTTTGCCAAGGATGACTAAGGCCACCTTATGTTGGCTCCTGATATGTTGCCTTGAATCCTTGTAGTGACGATGCAACAAACATACATCCGTGTTCAGCCCAGTTCAAAGAGGGAAACTGCTCGCACTACGAGCAGGCAATGGCTTGCATGTTCGAACACCAAGGACGCGCGCACATGGGGGATCATAGGTCATAGGCGCATTCTGGGCGTCACCGTTAAAACCACTGAATCGATCTGAATCGGGATTATTGAAGTGAGCTTTACAATTTTTTTACAAAATCGTACCAAGAGCTATATCTATTAAATTAGATTAAGTCGATATGACCATGACGTGAACCCACATGTGAAAAGATCGGAACATCATGTAAATACAAGATAATGCAAGTACATAAAATGTGTATCATGCTGATCACTTTTCGATGGAAGATGAACTGAATGTTTGCATATGTTTGCATTCCAGGCAGCTTGTTGTCGATCATGTGGCTGGCTTGGGCCTCTATCACTTTTGAAACTGAATCCTGGCAACAAACAGTGCTCAATCGCTGTTTGTGTTCTGCAGCGCTTCCTGTAGCTACCCTGTTTCAGCGCAGTCACATGGAATCACAGTAGTTAACAGCAAAGGATCTGAAAGGTACCCAGGAATACCCTGGATTACCCTGGATTCATTTGCGCCTTGTCTATGAACTTGACAAACGCAAATCCTCTGGAGGTTCCGTCTGGCAATCTCTTGATATCCACGCTTTCCACCTGAATCAGGCAGGAGAACGGAGACATCGAAGAGCCACCACTTTAATGCTTCCAAATGCTTGCCTGGCGGTAGATTTTCCATGCACTAGTCACTAGTATCTCATTCACTTTACGGAAAGATACTGTATTGCAACTCATTTCAGAATTGCCATCCCTAGGGCTGTAGTCGTTGGGTATATGTAGTTCCATTCTCTTCTCACCGCCACAGCATTCAGGCCTGTCCATATTTGGCAAAGTGCGCAGCAACCTTATCCTCTGTGGTCGTTTTCCGCAGGCCACCGACAAATACCGTGGTCACCTCCGAGAATACAGGTCTGACATGGACCAAAGCTGCCCAACGACTCTACTGCTGTTGTTCTTGCAAGCTCTCAAATGGCCGGCCCCTCACGTGCGCATTTTTCCGAAAACTGTCGCTTGCTTGCATAATCTTGCAATATCTTGCATACCCATGGGTGGGGTCGGGAACTTGCAATCATTATCCAAACTTGGAGGGGTGGGAACGTACAACCATCATCAAACCTTGGGGGTGGGGTGGTCATCTTCGACCATTCTTGATTTTACATGCCTTTCCGAAAAGAGACAAACAAGGGGGCAGAGGGAACTGCACAAGCATCACAAGTGAGAAAAAATACAGACAGCGTGCAAGCATTTGTAAGCAAGTTCTAGCCTATGAAACTACTCGTGCCAGTGTCTGCCCTGGCCCTGCGTGCAGTCATTCTTAAAACGAGTGTGCCAGACTTGCACATCGTCAAGATTGAACCCGGCGCAAATGTTCACTCTATGGCCCGCCATGATATCTATCATTGTTTAGCCACCAAAATGGTCCCACAGCAGCACGCCTTTTCAGCGGATTTTGCCTGCTGCTTTTTGGCAGCAACAGCCTCCAGCAAAGCAAACGTCTTGCCAAAAAATATGGCCCAGCAAGACATGTAGCAGGGCGAAGAAGAGCACTGAGATTACGTACTCTCCCAACTCGATCAGGAAATTGGAGTCGACTCATTGGGATTCAACAGGGTTCAGAGGGAGGAATGCAAAACCACCTGCCTCGAATCTTGCTTGCTTAATCTTTTCTGCCTGGATGGCTCCTGGAAGCGTAGATGATAGCGTAGGCAAAGGTGTGGGAGCAGACTGACTGCCCTGCAGCGTCTCTATGTTGGAGAAACAGGCACCCCTTTTGGTTCACAACAAGGGCACGAGAACAGTTTGGTTCAGTAGGTTGTTGGCTTAGTTATTCGGTGGAGAGCTCTTGATGTAGTAATTGTAACAAACTAATACAAAACATGTGTTTAAAAACAAAGGTGTTTCAAGCCACTTTCCTGCATCCACGTTTAGCCTGAATGACGACGACTGTACTTGGAATAATCATAGTCACAAATCAATCTCTGTTCTGTCTTTGTCTCTGACTCTGTCTCTGTCTTGAAACTGCAAAAGTCTCCGTCCCTGCTCACTCACTCTCCAGTCAGTCCTGCATCTGGCACTGGTGATCCCGGCATTCCAGGCATCATGCCCATCATCGGCATTCCCTTAGTGACATCCCGCATCCCGACAGCGCCATTACATAGCTTCTCTTTGCTCTTTTTGGTTCTAACATGTTCTAGCGACAAACCCCGCTGAAACTATCAAATCTAATCATAGTGTCTAGCTTTCCAACCCTGGTGAGACCCCCTTAATCAGGGCTCTTCACACATCGTCATGCATTTTCCCATGTTCGTGTGAAAACGATGCTGTCAGGAAATGCTGACGTTGCTCTGGTGTTGAGATGCGCGAAGCCGCAATGCAGTTGCACTGCACACGCTGCTAAGATCACATATGTTACATATTGTTACTAGCGATCACGTTTTTTCTGAAACTGCTCGCGCAGCTCTCCTGAAGGATCGTGCTGGGGGCCTGGCCCCTCCCATCATTGGCATGCCCATGCCGGGCATACCAGGCATGCCTGGATTCATTGTTAGAACCTGGCAACATGATTGCTTTGGCAGAGTTGCTTGCGCAAACAAATCACAACATTAGTGAAATTCATAGGGACCCTGAATAATGGAACCCCCGTTCCCATACTACTCCCATGCTGTATACATCTGTACACTGTATATTCCTATACTGCCTATACTACTCCCAATCACCAGAATACTGCCTAAAATATTGACTTTGAGCAGCAAAGAAATCAGAATTGCAGAATGTACAGAAAAATATGGGGACATTACCAAAAAATGTGGATCTTCGCGAAAAATATGTGTTCTTCTTTTACCGTTAAAAGTGTGGTTCACCAGCGAAAATAGTGACTTTATCATACTTCATCAGCAAACATGTCGATTTGACCAGCAAAAGGAAAGTTTGCCAATAATTGATGGGGGGTTAACCAACAAGAATGCGGATTGAAACGTCAAATTGACATTTAACCATCAGAAATGGAGAGTTGATCACTTGATCACCGAAAATGTATATATATATATGAGAATGAGGGTCCCATCATTGGGGAGTCCCTATAAAATTTCATGGGCAACAACTGCCTGATCTCTTTATTCCACTGCGCAGGGTAGCCAACGGAAGTCCAAGCATATTCAAACCCACACATTTCCAGAATCGCACTAGCATAGAACAGAACTGTATGGGCACGTGGCTTCAGGCACTTTCAGGGCAACTGCACACGCTTGGCTCATGGCAGGAAAAGCAGCCAGCAGCGAAAGCACTGTTCATGGCAACAGCGTCTTACACCCGTAGAAGCCAACACATTCACATTCACATTCACAGCAGCAGCAGCACCCACAGCAACGGCAGCCACACACAGCCAGGTATCGTTGCTCTCCTCCCTCTCTCTACTTAGAATTATTTTGGAGGAAGTCAATGAATTCACGCATTTCCTCATGAAACTCTCATCTCGCTGTACCTCCTGCTGCCCGCTTGCCTTCTAACGCCAGGCCAGGAAACGTTGTCCGCGATCAGAACCCTTTGAGCCACATCTTCAAACATGTTCAAAGTTCTTCAAATGTTTGCTTATGTTTGCTTCACACTTTTGCAACGTGATCAAGTCAAGGTCCGTCACAGCATGTCATCTTACACTATTGATTGCATGATACCGCTGCACTTTGAGATCCTCGGAAATGCAAGCGCTGACCGTCTGTGAATGAAACTCGGTGACGAAATTGCTACGCTGCTACGGAGCATTCTGAACTTGCTCACAGCAGGGTTCAGGCATGACTCCAACACTTGTCGGAAGCATGGCTCATTCCATCCGCGCTCACACCGAAGTGACGCGCAAACCAACACTTGTCCGTGAGGATTCGCATGGATTCGCATTGTTGTTTTAGGCAACCATTGGCCATAAGGCGTGTCAGGCTCTTTCTTTGCATGTGTCGCACCGACCAGCGCAGCTAAAATAAAGCGAGTTTCACTGGGCCACAACGGGCCCACCATTAGACCTATGATGACCTATGAGCTGCCTCGGCAGCGCCTATGCACAGAAAGTGCTTCCCAGCAACCACAGGCATGATGGCCAGGCAATTCCGCTCCACTGGAGATCCGATTTGGACACGTGTTGACCACATGTTGACCCTACTGGCATTCCAAATGGAACATCCCTTGACATGCACAGGTGTTATGGTGCCATTATGGTGCCATTATATGCCATCATATCATTCGCCTCGGCCATTTACTCATACCTGGAGCCTGGAGCAATGGAAATTCCTCAGGCCGCATCATCACCAGGGCCAGCTTCTCCACTTGTGTAGGGTTGAGGCCTTGGTTTTAGATGGGAAGGGCTTAAACACGAAGAAGCAAGGCAGCGAACTACAGTATTGGACCGCATCTGTGTGCAAAATTCTAATTTGTCAGCTTGTCATTGTGCCCCTTTCCACTCCCAGGGTCCCAACTCCGAATGCTCCGGCCCCATCCACCAAATGCCTTTTGGACCTTCGTAGTACCTGCGCCATTGCACTTGCCATGCAGGCACTGGTCATTGACCATCAAAATTAGCATCCAGAATAGGCCCAACGTAATCACTCCGTCATCTTGGCTTGCCGAAAGGTGTTGTGGAATTGGGGTCCAAATGGCTCAAACAATGCTGAACATAAGTCTCATGCTATGCGCTTCTCACATGTTTTTTTTTTTGTGTGTGTGTGTGCCTCTCTCTCTCTATTTCTGTATCTCTCTCTCTCCCTCCCTCCCTCTCAATCTCTCTCCCTCTCTTCTCTCTCCCTCTGTTTGTCTGTATGCCACTCTCAATATCTCTCAATTGTCTTACTGCGAGGGGAATTCAGAAGGCTGGCGAAGTAGATTGGGCTCAGAGTAGTAGGGCGGCTGTGTCTGAATTCAACGTGAGCTGTATGTTCAAGCATGCTGCATGCTGCTTAAAATTGCAAAGAATGCCCAACAGCATTCCAACATTATCCAAAATTGCAGTTGGACGTCTTCTGTAGTTTTTGCCGTCCTCTCTCGAATGCTGCAAGATAGTTGAACATCCAGGATGGTTTTGAAGGGGTCTTGAAGACTGGAAGCATACTGCCATCTCCCTTCTGCAATCTCAGCTAAGAGCTCACCCAACACCTGTCCCCGTCCAGGTTTCCAATTTGCTTCAGGTTCTGCTGAATCTTAAAAGAACTGAACTTCGAGGAATTCCAGACTTCAACCCGGCCAAACAGGTTACAACGGACCAAATGGCCAAACTTAAGAGCATCCCCATCCCGACTCACCACACCCTGCTGGTCCAGTGCTGAGACGACTATGAAAAGCATGAGAAAAGTGCAAAAGTAAGGCAATATAGGCAATCACAGCCCATTCTGACATGATGTGACTAAGTTTGGGCATCCCTCTTATCATCTCAAGTCGGTGCGCACCACCATATCGTGGTGTTGTCATCATACTGGGTCCAATGCTTTCCAGGCCTCAACAGTTGCAACAGTTGCAACAGGTCCATTGCTCCAATTCTGCTTGAGGCGGTCTCTGTGTCCGAGTTCCCAAACGGTTTTTTCGGTTTGTCAGGGTCCTGCTTGACCTCCAAGAAGGATCAAAGTAGGGCAGTGAGCGGCAGTGAGCCGCAAACTGTTAAAGGATGTTAAAGGTCAAACTGTGTTGAACTCCATCGTTTCAGACCTGGCCTTGACATCTGATACGCCTGGGGTGGCCTGGCCATCATCATCATCATCCCCATAGTCTGCCTGAGCTGTTTGTGTCATCCGCAAAATAGGAGAGAAATGGAGAGAATCAATGAGAATTGACAGAATTGATTCCAGAGCTGGACCTCTTCCTTCTTGTGCATTGTGGCATATGCAGGAGTTGGCTTGAAGGCCTCAAGGGAGCCAAAGATAGCGAAAGCGTGACAAGTGGGTGCCTGCTATGACGTACTCAGGCAGTCTTTCGCTCCTGGTCCAAGATACCTGATTGATTGCACAACTCATCGAGAGATATCGAGAGTGTAAGGATACGACATTGAACTGGGCAGGTTGCGCTTGAGATGGCCTGCGCATGAAGCTAAAGTATGTTACAGCATCACTGAATTTCTCATAATTCATCATCTGGTTTCTTGGTTTGAAGTGGTTTAAACACATTTGAACTGAATCGCAGCGTTCGCCCGGGCCTTCTCTCCGGTGCAGGAGTTGCATAAGAATTCGTCGAATTCGTCTTGCCTCCTTTCCAGTGTTCTCCGTTTCCATGCCGCTCATTGCGGTCAATCTGCGACGAGCATGAGAAACAATGTGAAATGGGAACGGCCGCAATCAACTCGAACAAAAGCTACAAAGATCCACAAAGTCAAAGCTCAAGAAGGTAAAAAATGATAGAAACGATAGATTAAATAGGCACTGAGCAGAAATGCAACCTGCTTCCAGCGCGCCTTTTTCACCCGATCCTGTTCGTCCACGGTGAAACGCCCTTCATGGTCTGTATCCTCAGTGTTTCAGGAGATTTGGTGCCAACATGTGCCAACAATCTGGGAAGAAAAAACGCGAATGTGTTTGCCGGGCCTGAAGGAACTGCTTCAACGACTCCACATCGTTGATGTTAAACTCAGGTTTCCTAGCAACTACAACAGGCAATAATAGGCAAACGCACTGGAGCTCTCTTCAGAACTCAATCTCATCGATCTCAATTCCATAGCAGTGGATGTGTTTTTCGGATTAAAGTGCCTTTGGCACCGCTGATCAAGCTGTCAAACACATTTGCTCCCGTTGCACCTGTTTTGCATAGCTGTGACCATGTCTGATAAATACGCGTATCCGTCCCAATCTGCTTGAACTCCGTCCTGCAGCTCAAATCAGGAGCCAAAGGAGGTAGCTCAAAGCTTGCTTGCAGGCGCCAAAGCTTCCATGCGTAATATCCCGTTCAATTTGTTCACGACAGGGACGAATTTAACCGAAAGACTAAAGTAGTCTACCCACCTCTACCGCCAGTTTAGAGAGCGGCTCATTCTCCCTTTCTAATCTGTTCTACGGCACCGCTTATATGCTTCCAGATTGTCCTCCTTGCCACCTTTCAAGAGGAAGCCCATATATCTCTGGATTTGCTCGGTCATGTCCTGGGAGTGACCTGCCAGGAATGTGTGCTTGCTCCACTTGCCCACACGGTTCCATTATGTTCCACTACCATCTCCGACATAGCCCGACATTACGTGCCTTTGCCGTGCTTTTGCCACCTCAGAAGGACAGTGTTGGAACCCCCTGACCGAGCAAACGGTCCCAAGAAGCAAAGACACAGCTGAATTACATAGTCAGCTGAAATCAAGAACATGCCACAAAATGCTGCCAGAAGGTGCTGCTAAGCAACCCCTGAGATGATGAGCCGCTTGTTTGTGACCCCTGCAATCGCCTGGCTAAAGGACCGACAACGCAAGCAAGCGCACAAAAGCACAAGCACAGCTTCCAGGTTTTCTCAATCCCAAATGATTAAATGACTCAAATGAATTCAAATGACCCAAAAGAAGCCATGAAGACCATCCAGCAGCATTTCCGCGGTTTTGGGTCCAGTCTGTCTTGGGCTCTTCCCTGGGCACAGATGGGCATAACACGACAAGTATATAGGCAAAGTGAGTGCAAACAAGACTTGATTTGATCCAGATAATGGCAAGTGCGTTTGAATTCCTGATGTTTCAAGCTAACTTCTTGGGATAGGACTTGGTCCAATTCTCTCGGTAGGTATTATTGTTGTCGTTCTTGTACGAGTTGTCTGCCTAAGTCAAATGTTGGCGCGTGTTCTCATATTTGAGAAGCTGCCCCACCAAGTCCAATGTTGAGGGTTGAAGGGAAATGGGAAAGCATGGAAAAGCTAGGAAAGCATGGGACATGAAAGAGTCGATCGTATTGAAACTGTAGTGTCATGGTCCGGTCCTCTAGATATTCTAGGTTTCTGACCCACTTCCAAGAGGAAGTCTGTTCAGATTTCCAGCTGTTCGTCTCTTGTTTCACCTGCGACCTGTCCTCGCAACAAAATGATACGACAAAAAACTACAGACAGGTTGTGACTGTAACATCAAGATCTTCAAGCCCGTGACACACTAAGATCCGAACATCCCAAGTCTTCGCGCCATTATTCTTCCCGCTATTCCAGGTGCATGTCGACCACGTTGTTGTGGTCTTGCCGTTGTCTCTCGGCCATTCTGCCCAAAGACAGCAAGAGCATCTCAATATGGCAAATGAACGCAAACAAGGGATGCATTGCATGAGCCTCCAACAAGTTCGAACTGGCTCCCAATCCGTGATCAGCAGCTTTCTGCATCTTCATGTGCACTTCTCAATTCAGTTCTCTACATTGCAATTTTCTGTGCCTCCTCCAGAGCGATGGACTTGAATCACGGTGTCCTAGGCATTTTTCGGCAAATCAAAACGGGACTGCAAAATGCTGCCAACATTTCATAGCATCCTTGCCTCAAAATCCTTAAACTTATGCCCCACACAACATCATCTGAGATCTGCACACCAATTCTTTGATCATAATGCCTAGGTGCAATGGCAACAGGCTGCCTGTTTTGTCAGCCCCGGAGCAGTAGGGGCAGTAAAAATGAGGCGGAAATTAGGTTGGATATGGTTGGATCATGTTGGATCCACTTCAACTCACTTCTTGGGTTATGCATTGGAACCCAGAAACTTCAGCGGGCAAATTGCTGCAGCACCTTCAACTACGTGTCACTTTATCCGTATGTCTCAAGCCAGCTTGAAACAAGCCTAGGGCAAACGCATCTTGAAGCGTGAACCGCCGGTACGCTCGTTGACCAGGTTCTGCTCCACAGCTGCCACAATATCTTCTTTGCTCACACCTCGGGTTGATTCGGGTTGGCAAGAGAGTCTAAGGCGCGGCGCGTCCTCCCAGCACACAAACACGCGCACAAAAGCACGGCATTCATTTATTATTTACTGACAGCCACCCAGGCAGCAAACGGAATCTGCCTACTGAACCATATCCTTTGTCACCTATAGGTCCTGCAATGTCCTGCATATGTAGATAGAGAGAAATGTTTATGGTAGCCCATGGAATAGAATGCTCACTGTGAACAGCAAAGCTATGCTCCACGCCCTTATCCTGGCCCCAGGTGTCCATCAAATTCTGCAGGGTGAGGCATCCTTGATGATCCACTTCAAGGTTTGGTGGCCTGCAGGGGGCTAAAAACAAACAAAGTGCAAGCAGTTGAAGGGAAGGGGCGGAAGGGGCAATAGAGAAACAGTAGGCGTCAAACGGCGTCAAGACTCTGGAACAATCAACTCTGGCACATTTGGCAAGCTCTTGTCGCACCATATCCGAGCGTATCGCACCTGTTCTGAGCGTACCGGCCAATAAGGGCTATCTGTTTCGAAATCCACTGTAGCTTCCCTTGCTTCCTGCACTGCAAAATCACAGGACAAATCACACTGCACATGATCCAGCCAAGAGGCCAAGGGCTTTGCAGAAATTCGCATCTTTAAAGAGCAATCAAACAAGAAAAGCACATCATTTTTTCATATGTTTTTCCAGTTTTTCCCTCTCCTGGGCCTACCAATTGGTTCGTCCGGTTTCTCACTGGACCCGAGTTACAAGTTTCGAGCAAAACAAAATGGCTCACAGCACTCTTCCCCGGGTGACAGCTGGGGTTCCACGCCGTGGTGAGCGGGACCTGTCCCAGCCACCCATGCCCCTCAGCCACACAGAGGGAACTCAGAGAAATGAAGGTTGGACGCCAAGTACCACAATGCCTGAGACAGCTGCCTGCTCACTGCCGCGGTTAAAACCGCAGAAAAACCTAGCCCTATGGCTTGAGCCACTGAAAGCCAGAGGTATCGAGCCATTTGAAGATATTTACAGCTGGAAAGGAAGGATACAATAGGTTTGGATAGGTTTGGTAGATCTTGGGACTGCGCAGGACAGCTTATGTTTCAATGTCTCTTCTAGTCTCAGCTATCAGCTGCACCTTTCTATGGAAGCTCCTTATGACGCGCTTCGTTCTTCAGACTGTCTACAGCAAGCGGTCACGCCAACTTAAGTATGCAAGAAATGCATGTGCTTGGTCATATGCTGTGGGTTTCTGCCTGTTGTGACGGGCAAATTTCTTTTGATTTCTTGTGCTTTTGTTGTGGTAACTGTATCTTGCAAAACTCTCTTAATCTGGAAACCCCACAGCAATCCCCGCCCATGAAGCAGCGAAAGACCAGCACTTGGACATGAACATCTACAGGTTTCCTATGGTCTCCAGATCATCAGCGGAGTGCCAAAGTGCAGCGAGATTGATGCAGGAAACTCATGGAAACTCTGGTAAAAGCATCCGGAGATGTCATGGCAAACAACTGGCCAGACTCGCCAGGCTCGCCAGGGCTAGACTCTAGGACTCGAAGATCCATGAATCATCTCTAGACTTTTTTGAGTCATCTCTAGACCACCAAAGTCACTTCAAAAGGCTTCAGGCAGTCCTGAGAAACAAACTTCAAATGAATTCTCCTCAATTTCAAGATTGGACATGCTGAGCTCATCTTGTTGAAATCTGTCCCTTTGCCTTGCTCCATGCCAGTCCTGCTTCTTGCCATGCGTGCAACAATTGTAGTCTTCTGCTGCTGACGGGCAAGCCGAACCATCGGGGCAACATGTGTTTCCTGCAAGGAACAGCGTCGCAAGTTTGTAGAATTAATGCGCCATTTCGTCGGAAATCACTTTGCAACGCCACTTTGCATATTTCTGCCTCGACATTGGACTGTTGACCCAGGGCAAAAAACGGAGTCACCTCACGGCCAAACGCATGGGTTTGCATGGAGCTGCTTGCCAAAAAGAGGCTACAAGTAGATGCCAATAGCTTGCCAAAAGCCTGCCAAAAGCTGCCAAGCAAGAACACAGAGGCGAGAAGGTGACAGGAAAGGCCGAGATGCCAAGCTTGCATATGCCCCCGCTCTGCACGTCCACTGCGGCAGCTGATGAACTATTGCAAAACCAACGCGGTACAGCACTTTTGGGTGCCTGGCAGAGGAAGGTGGGAGTTATCTTTGGAAGCTGAATGTTGAGATGACGGACACCCATGGACACCATTTATTTAGTGAAGTGAAAGGTAGTCCTGGGGCGCACTGTGGTCCGTGGAAATGAAAACAACGCATTTGGGTCGCAAAACGAGGTGGAACGAGGTAGGCATTTCATGCATAGCATTTAGCCATGTAAAAACAAGTCTGGCATTGGAGAATGCGATCAAACCCCAAGAAACGGTACAGGAATGGAGAATGAGGTACTGGTAGGTAGGAACACCCTGCCGATGCAGGAAGCACACAAGGTCGGAGTCTAGAGTCTCTTCATTACCTTTGTGAACAAATTACAGTTCTGATTCTAGTCACCTACAGATCCCACTGCACTTAGAGCACCGGCCTTTGGATCAATCATAGATGCTGGGCCTTTGTCCTTGATTTCTTGAACATCGCAGTGTGACTATCTTGCACAGCTGCAGGCTGTATGTGTTGTACAGCAATATCGTTGGAAGAGCCATGGAGAAAAAAAAAACGCTATTCGCATCGAGCTCGTCCATCACGGAGAAGCAGTGCACAAGGAAATACAAGGACTGCTTCCGATGTGCATGTGCAAACTCTGGGGCAACTCATAATGCTGCTCTGGTGCGTTGATGACGTGCAAGACGACACCCTTCCCATTCAAAAAAACCTTGGCTCCAGAATCATCAAGTATCAACTAAGGTCAGGTGGAGAAGATGGAATTAACATGAATTAATCAAAGGCCGGAAAAGACCCAACGCATGCATACAAAGGTGCAAAACAAGGTGCAATCCCTCTTGTCAAGAAACTGACAGCGGTGACGCAAAATACGGTTCCAGAGCAGCAGGGGCGACGATGGCAGATTGTACGGTTACAGCAGCATCACGGAAATAGTGGTAGACTCCCACACCGTGCCTTGCAAACTCAGAGCATCTTCTGCTCCTAGTCCTAGACATGTCATGCAAGTTCGCGCCATAACTGTTCCGAGACTTTCCGTAGCCAATATATCCGAAATATTATGGTGCAGTATGTCCAGGTGCTTTTAGACGATGGAATCAGACTATTGACCACTATGAATATGCCAAATCCTGTTGACGCACCATGGCGGCCAACCGCGCAAATGATCTGCTGCTCGAGCTGCGCTTCATGTGATGTCACTGTGTTTGAGACTCTGTAGCCAGCATAGCCTTTGTCTCCGAAGGTGGCCTCAAATCCAGAAGCTGCAGCAACTGCTTGACCCCTGAAATTTGATCGACTGTCCCGATGACCTGCCTTCGGTTTTAATGATTTGTTTCAGGCCATGCTACCTGCGTCACTTCATAGGGCATCTCCTTAGCAGCTTAGCAAAGGCTGACTTGCACCACGAGGAAACATCTGGATACATCTGGAATCTGTTTCTCTGGAAAGCAAGTCTCTGATTCGTTTGTAGCTTAGAACAAAGATTTCTCAAGCTGCTAAGTGGCTGCTTGGAACATGAAGGTGCGCCCACCCTGTCCATTCCATTGCACCTGCATACAGCACAACTGTAGACGGAAAATGGAAGATGATGGAAGTAGCAAAAGATTGGCAAAGCAATCCATCTGCACCTGGTCGGTGAGAGCATGCTCAGCCTTGAAGCCATATGCCACAACATTGTTGCCATTAATTATAGCTCCAACCTGCACGCTCTGGGAGCTTGAGAAGCACTTAAAGATCTGGCTGGTTGACACTGCATACAGATTGCTTTCAACATGAAGGGCAAAGCATGCCATAGCTATTCTGTGAGTCTTCAATGCTTCCCGCTCCTGGCAAGGATTCTGCCACTGCACCAGCTGGCCGCTCTCAACATGATCCGCTCGCCACAGCCAGGAGTTGTCAATCACAACGTTGTCTGCATCTACCTGGAGCATCACCTCCTCAGTTTTAAAACAGCATGAAATCATGTTATGACTTCATGCGATTTCAAAAAAAGGATTGACCAGGGAGCTTGACTCGGGATGTGTGCCTCATCATGCAGCTGAGCTATTACATGCTATTACCTCTTTTCATGACGTCGGCACCAAAACCCTGGCAAGCATCTGCCTTTACAGGAGACTCTGCGATAGGACCACCAACACGAAGGTAGATATCACCTCAGAGCCATAAAAGAGCACAAATGTATGCAGGATGCTCAATTTCATGAGAAGTATGATGGAACACTTGCACCAACACAAAGCACCATCCATTAATACTACAGTAAACTATAATAACTGTACTCTTTTTAACGAAGAGAACTTGGAAATGTATCCTGGTCCTGAGTCTTACCTCCACTTGCTTCACATCTTGCCCAGGCCAGGTACTCATGATGCCAGGGCTGCTGCAGCTGCCTGCCCAAGCTGTCCGGTCGACCACAGCTGTTTTATCATGCAAACATAGCGCCACCACTCAAAACACAAACATGCTGAAGAGATACTACAAATACTATCCAATAGAATGCCTCAGAACATACTGTACGTCAAAAAACTAAGCTGCATGATGTGCTTAATGTTTGGCTTTTGCACTTTGGTTATGGCCTTGCGATTTTTCCCACAGTAGCAGTGGTGATGTTGCGGTCGTGCCGCCCGCCATGGCGACCAACAACCTTGGTTGCTGCGGCTGAATTTCTGGGTCAGTCCCAGCCAAAACCTGTAATTGTTTTGCCACAGATTTGCTCACACGGCTTCAAAGTGTCCGAAATGGCTTTGAGAATCATTGAACAGATATGAACAAATGTGCACGTCTAATAGTATGTATGCATATGTCATATGTCGGAAAATTATATCTATATCTATTGTACACATGGCGTGTATACATACATGCATACATACATACATTACATTACATTACATTACATTACATTACATTAAATTACATTACATTACATTACATACATACATACATATATATATATGTGTGTGTGTTATCTATCTATCTATCTATCTATCTATCTATCTATATCTATCTGTCTGTCTGTCTATCTATCTATCTATCTCTATCTATCTCTATCTATCTCTATCTATCTCTATCTATCTCTATCTATCTCTATCTATCTCTATCTATCTCTATCTATCTCTATCTATTTCTACCTATATCTATCTATATCTATCTATATCTATCTATATCTATCTATATCTATCTATATATCTATCTATATATCTATATCTATCTATATCTATCTATATCTATCTATATCTATCTATATCTATCTATATCTATCTATATCTATCTATATCTATCTATATCTATCTATATCTATATCTATCTATATCTATCTATATCTATCTATATCTATCTAAATCTATCTAAATCTAAATCTAAAATCTAATTACACGTAACATACGTTATGATTGATTCTGGTAATGCGGAGCCAAGTTGCCCTGCGACACGCGCACCGCAGCTTTTCACTTGCAGTGCCCCTTGTGAGTTCTTGGCCCGCAGTGTTGCCAGGCCCAGGCCAAGAAGCACCTGACACAGATCTTTCGAGATTAAGTTCTTTCAAGCGCTCACCAGGTGATCGCACGATCTCTGCCAACTTTGGCGGCGACGCATTTGGCGTGGCATAAGAAGCACACAGTTGAAGTCATTTGTTGGGTCATTGTGCGATTGCTCTTGTTCTGTCATGCTTCAATTTGGGCGTTCTACAACTTTCTACGTTATACCAAGTTATACCAAGTTATACCAAGTTATACCAAGTTACACCAATGTTGCGGGATTTGGTACACTTAACTCACCAATACTTTCTGCACTTTCCATACCGGGGCCTGGTTGTTGGTTGCCATAACAAGAGGCTCGGTGAGGTCGTAGATACCAGGAGACAGCACAACGTGAAGCCCCTGCGCCAGCTTCGCCTTGAAGGATCTGATCGGAGCTGAACCAGCTAAGCACAATAAATAGCAATACATAGCAATGTAGCAATACATATAATACAATACAAATATATACATATTAATTACAGTAATACATAACATATCACAACATGGTCAAACTTCTTGACTCCACATTCAAAACATTCTTCAAAGTGTTTTAAACATTGCAAGGTGCGGTTTCTGCCAAGTTGCGTTGATACTCTGGGCTGTGTCCTTCGCAGGATCTGCAACATAGACCTGGCAAACGGGAGAACCTCTTTGCCTCACTGCTTTCGGGATTGACATGATTGACTGCTAATTTCCCGAATGCTTCTCTATGCTTCTCTTCGATGTCCGATTTAGTGACATGAATGAAAGCATCAGTGAGTCGACTAAACAGTCTGACAAGGAGTCCCGCCTGTTCAAAGCCAACTTGATCAACGTCCTGGTAGTCCAGACCTTGCAAATTCTGCACGGGCTTCGGGACATTGAGCTGGTAAGTGCCTCATCTGGAAACTTGCAGCCATTTCACCTTCGAAGTCTTCGAATAAAGAAAGGACCAGAAGCCGAATGAGCACAAAACAGTACAAAACCGTTCCTCAAGCCAAAGATGTTCCCAGTTTATGCAGATCTGTTTGCGAAAGGTGGCAAACTGATTAAAGCAAAGCCGCCAGTGGGTGAAATGGAGATGAATGGTTTTTCCTGGGCAGGACACTTCTTGCAGAATGTTGAACGAAGAGAAACCAAACAAAGATTGCACTTAGACGGCAAGAACGGCTATACATTAACATACATTGGCTATGTGCCATATAAACCTACGTAACGGCAACCATGTTGTGTCTATGTATTGTTGCCCGCATGATTCGTGGAAAGTCGTTCCGCAAAGTGTCTGCCACAATGGGGGCAGTGTCTACGGTCACAAATGGCTTGGCGCATGTTTCTGCATCCATTCCACAGTGGCTCGGAGGGGCATTGATAGTTCCAACGAAAACTTCGTTCCACACGCCATCTTTCCAGGCACCGACCTGGCCCAAGCAGGAGATAGCAGGAGCACTATGACACTATGAGCCAAAGTGCTGCCCTCAAAGGTTATGCCAAGGGTTATGCGATATTAACCGATATTATGGGCCATGCAACAAGGAGGGGCCACTTTGCAGAGGTCACCTTCACCTTTGCAACCCCTGGCTTCCGGCTAAACGCCTGAGAGTTTCGTGCAAGGTATTGCTGTTGAGATCCAGAAGAGACGCTGCCCTTGACGAGTGAGTTGCCTCAATCAAGCAAGCAGCCTTCACCCTACACCGCGCCATCTTGGCACTCTTGGACCCAAGAAGTGCTTGACTTTGAAAGGGGGCCTACCTTCGCACAAGCATGCAACGGGAGGGCTGATATCACCAATTCCAGTGCAAAGTCTCCAAGCGGATGTCAATGAAACGAAGAAGAAACCAGCAGTATCGTTGAGAAGCTAGATATGGTAGACCAGATTTGTTTGTGTGGGTATTGGATTTGGGTTCGAGTTTAATTTTTTGGGGATTGCCAGTTCTTGCCCTGGTATCCTTGCCTTGTACCAAAAGACTGTCCTTTATCATCCTTTGCCCACAAGGAGTTCAGAATAGTTGAGAAATGTTGAGAATAGTTCAGACAAGAAGCCTAGGAAGCCTCCAGAAGAGAAGCCCGCAACCAGGTCGCCCTTGTGAAACTCATAGAGATCCAGGTCGTTCGAGACGATGAGCCTGCCAAGATCTGCGGAGCCGAGGCAGCCGAGGCACTTGAGATCTTAAGATATCTTAAGATTTTTTACGATGCTTATGGCATCTTGTGGCTGTCAAAACCTTGCCGCCGCAAGGTGTTACATGAGCAATTTCGGAAACCCAAGCGTCAACAGAAGGACATCAACAAATTTGGGACGGTCCTATCGGTATTTTCGTTCATATTTCTCTATATATATATATGCTGTACGTATACATACATATTGCATACCGCCCATTCGCTGCAACAGAAGGGCACCAGAAAAAGGACAAGAAAAAGTGATGAAAACGAGGTTCATTTTCCAAGGAGACCACTAAGATATGGGCCCAAGGAGACCACTAAGATATGGGCTTCAAGGGGCATCGCTATTTGGGAAGATCTCAGCGCTTACTTCACGGTTTTACGACTTCTGGAAATCGATGTCCTCCTACCATATTTCATCCTTCCTTTTTTTGCGGTGGCTCAGACGTGATGTTGCCATCCCACTAGAACCCGAAACATGGGCTGAGCGGGAGTCCATGCAGGCGAAAACAGGAGCGACTCATTTGAGATGAAATGCGAGTACATTGAAATACCATGAAATACGACGAACGGCTATTCTACTTCTTGCTCAAGCCATCCCGCTTTTTTAAGAGCACCAATCGGGGAGTTTAAAAGTCCAAAAAGCATCCAAAAAGCATATTCGACTCAAATGACTCAAAAGTGATGGGACACTTTGGCCAGCAAGTCCTTCGCAACGCAGCTGCTTGAGAAGCAGCCCACAGCATGCCTTTATTCCCGTTGGTATTCCTCGGCTTGGATTCCAGGAGGCTCAAGAGTTTGACAAAATGAACCCAAAATGTGGCAAAGTATCCTGGGATATTCTGTGATATAGAGTGTGTTCATGTGTGTTCTATCACTGCCGTCGGGATTGAGCATGGCGCCAGGCATAGGTCGCATCTGTCTGGAAGTTTTCCGCGGAACGCCAGAATGTGTTCAACGCGCCCGGGTTCACTGCAAAATTCGACCTTGTGGACCCGGGACAGCATTCAATGTGCCCTGGATTCAAGCCATCTGGGTAAGTGACGATTGATCACGATGATGGAGGCGGGATAGTGTAATAGATGTTCTGATGTTCACCAACTGCTCGCCAAACGTTAAAATGACCAAAAAAAAAAAAGTAACAGGGGGATTCAACGCATTCTGAAAGGGCAGCGGCCACTTGTCACACATCACGAGCCCCAATCCCAAAAAGAGAACAGATTCAGGCTTTTGACCGCCAGGCATATGTTTAGATATGCATTTTCTACTGCAACCAAATCGCTCCTGGGAGTACACCCCTTTGCTCGAGGTGAAGATCACTTCAGACGGATGCGTCCCCAAGCCCAGAATCTGCGTGTAGTACCCGACCGGGACCTCCACATTGTAGCTGCCAGGCTTAAACATAAATACAAACCTGCAGCGGAAGGCATGCAAGCAAGCAGTCAAATTGGGAAGTAAAGGCCAAAGCACTTCACCCTGAAAAGACAATATGTCAAGTATAGTGGAAGACATATCCACTGGAAACCTGTGTCGCGGCCTCCCTCATGCCGTATAATCAATCAGACACAACTTGCACGATGACTTTGCGCCACAAGTGTGAAATGGCCACCAAACTGAGATGTTTTCATGGATTCTCTTGAACTTTCAAGGCGGCCGCACCTGTGTGGTGAAAACTGACCAATGTCTGGCTGCCCACCATTGAGCGCATAAGCTGCATTCACTGCGGCTTGGATGGTGGCGGCTGCATCTTCTGGGCCAAAGACCTGTGTTCGAAGAAATGTTTGCAACAGTGAATAATAGTGAATATGGTGAATTGGACATCATCGCGGCAGTGGGAGGTCCGAGTTGCCAAACAAAGCTTCGGGCAAATTGCACCCGTCTTGTCCTACCGTCATTTCCTTGTAGACACTGTACCAGGCTCTAGGCATTTTGGCGCTTTGATCTTTGACATGTAAGTCAGCCTGGACAATGCATTAACTTTGGATAGCTTAATTTCTGTTGCATGAATGTGCCTTGACGGCATCTATATAAACATGTAAATGTAGTTGTTTACATTCCAGTAATGCCAAACGGCGGCCGCTGCAGCCATGGCTCTTGCACACTGCTCGGCCAGATTGGGGGGTTTGGCTCACCACTGACGATTTGCAGCACAGCTAGCAGCGACCACATGATGGAGGACTGTCTAAGCTAAGCAGTCTGCGGGATGCAGCGTCTGAAATGGCAAATCGTTGGCAAATAGCAGGCTGCTACCTGTGAAGAGCGAACAGCATGCTCCAAACAAGATCATCAAACTCATTTTGCCACCAATGGTGCCTGCCACACTTCCTGGAGCCCCATGTTCCTCACACACTTTCCCTGCTTTTCCTTTTTTATTTGTTTTTACCGAAAAAAGTTTGGAGGTGGAGTGGATTGACCTTCACAAATTGCCTGGCGAGCTCCGCGCTTGCCAAGCCATCACGTTGTCTCATCTCAGCAAATCATTCAGATGTCCTGAACTCTCGTGAGCCTGGGAATTTCCCTGAGTCAAATCTTCGCCGTGGGTGAAACGTGCAGCCTTTGTCTCTCATCCTGGCTTACGCGGCTGCGCCTCCATCATCCGCACAGAGACCTGTCCAACGAGACACATCCGAAGCCCAGAGCAGGACAAACAAATGCCATATTAATGCATATATAAACATCCATGAAAAGATCGTCAAGCAGGGCATTATTTGCTGTAACCAACTCTTGCGAAACTAAAAAAATAAAATAATTTATATATGGTAATATTTAGCACCTGGAAAAAATGACTTCAATTGACTTCAAGACTTGAAGTGGACGACATTTTCGAAACCATTCCAGGAAACCCAATTGTCCTTGACGGATTTGACGGGCGTGTTCTTCCCAGACTCCCGGACCACTAAACATGAACACAATGAACAAAGGCGTTGCAAAGGTTTTTTGTTTCACGAGCGCAAACCCAGAGGTTCAGTCTGCTTGAAATGGGAAACCAAAGAGCATCCACCAGTGATTTGGTGTTTGCTCTTTGCTCTTTGTTTGCTCTTTGGGCGCATTTTCGCTGGACAAGCAGCTGAGTCATCTGTGGGGATCCTCGGGAAAAATGAGCACTAGCAACAAGCGGTTTAACAGTTGCTGCGTGAAGAATCCATACTCCCGACTCTTGTATACAGTGATAATCAGTAATATCACGCAATAAAACCTTTGCAAGGATGGTGTTAAGAGGTTTCAATATATTTAATGTTTCACCCCACTGCATGGCCGAGTGAGGCTTTGGGCATGGGATACCACCTCACAAGAATGTACAACGGCTTTCGGACATGTGCACAATCAAGTGCATCGTGCAAACATACGCAAACACATATCAAGTACCAAATGCATCTCCATCATGCAGTGGTTTTGGTTTCAATAGCTTCAGAAGTCATCGACGAAACCTGGGATGCACGAAAACCCTCAGCCCTACTTTGGTCGTTTACTTCACAGTTCACAAACTGGGACGATCCCCATGTTCACGTGGCCTTTTGAAATAAAAATCCCCCAGGTATCTGCTTGGATATGCTTGCATGGTGTGGATTCTTTTGGGGCATCCCGTGTTTGGGACCATCATTCCAGTTGAACAAAAGGTTGCTCTATGAAACCAGTGTTAACCTTTCCCGGTTTTTACCTGATTTGTTTGACATGTCAGAATGGCACTCAAACACTCCTGGAAAGAGTTCAGGCAATGTGACAACAAAAGACCTAGACACTGACACTTGACTTGTATATATATATATACCCCTCTTTCTATCTACCTACCTATCTATCCATCTATCCATCTATCCATCTATCCATCCATCCATCCATCCATCCATCCATCCATCTATCTATCTATCTATCTATCTCTCTCTCTCTCTACCTATCTCTAGCTATCTATATCTATCTTTATCTATCTATATTTATCCATATGTATATATGTATATCTATATCTATCTATCTATATCTAGCTATATCTATATCTATCTAAATCTATCTCTATCTATCTATATCTATCTCTATCTATGTCTATATCTATCTGTATCATCTATGTCTATCTATGTCTATCTCTGTCTACCTACATCTATCTATATCTATCTGTATCTATCTACATCTATCTATATCTAGCTATATCTATCTATATCTATCTCTGTCTATCTCTATCTCTATCTTTATCTCTATCTCTATCTCTATCTCTCTCTATCCCTATCTCTATCTCTATCTCTATCTCCATCTCTATCTCTATCTCTATCTCTATCTCTATCTATCTCTATCACTATCTCTATGACTATCTCTATCTCCATCTCAGTCTCTATCTCTATCCCTATCTAATTATCTAATTTACACATTTTCAAGAAGGGATGCATGAACGCCACCAGTGCATTGCTTGCGAAACAAACTGAAACCAAATGAGCCAAGGCCTAAGGCATGCCAAATATGCCAAATATGCCACTGCCTTTCTTAGTGCCTAGGTGCCGAGCATCAGTCCAGCACCAGGGCAGCTGCCTCCACAGCAGTGCCGCCAAGGTCAGGCAATGCCTGGCACATCCGAGGCAGGTCACTACAGGTCACTTGGGACATCCGTTCGACCATGTTGGACCTAAATATCCTAGATTCCTAGATCTAGACAAAGCATGACGAAAATTTTAAGAATGACATCGCGAGACATTACCAGGAGCACTTCCGCAAATCCCATTTGCATCTATTCGCCGTGTTTCTGCATTTCCTCAGCTCTTCCTGAGCCACTACCAGCACAGGCCACTGATGTTCAGGAGATTCAAACTGGATGGAAACATGATGAAATATAGTAAAGCATCTGCAAACATTGAGTGCCTCGTGCTCAGGATCTGGTGGCAACTCAACAGGAGGCAGTGGTGCTGCCAAGGGATTCGTGGAGAGCAACGGCGACGGACCAGGTGGGGCAGCTTGGCTGCGAGAACCATTGTGAAGCCTCAGTCCCATTGCCTTGTTGCGACATGTTGCAACGTGTTGCTTCGTCCTACTCTTGTAGACTCTTGCCACCTTTACTTGGCCCAATCGTCCCTGCCATACAAGCTAGCTTTGCACCACGTAGTTGGTACAATCAACAGGGATCTCTATGGTGCATGAACGGAGAAACTTAGAGAAAAAGTCTCAGATCAAGCAGATCCAAGCAGCATAGGTGGAGGATGGCCCCAGCCACCTGTCCAGGGATTTCATGTGGTTTTGAAAATGACATGAACGTTTCAATTTTTTTTTACGAGAGAACCAACAAACTCTACCCCACATCGACCTATCAGGACCAAATCTGATTTGATCGCGCGCCTTGCGGTTGTAAATAGCTGGGATACCACGCAGGAGCAACAGACCAAGGCGATCGCTGTGATTCAAAGCCACACGGTGCTATAGCTTTGACACAGGCGCTATAAGATCCACCGGGCTGCAAATTGCCAACCTGGTTGAAACAGGGAGCACCGTCGTATCGCTAAGGTATCACAATAGTCTATCTATGCAAATCCTTTTCCCATCTACCCCCCTCAACCCCCCCACCATATAATATATGTTTGTATGCTTCGGTGCTTA